GAAGAACGATCAGACCGACGCCATTGCGGAAGCTTACGAAGCTTCGGACCGCAATGGCAAAAGGGAGATCTTGGAGAAGTGGTCAGGAGACCGCAGCCTGGGCTGGGTGGCGGGGTACCTGCAGGAGAAGGCTTTCGTCCACTCTGAGGGAAGCGAGACCCGCAGCTCTTGGCACACGGAAGCTGCGATCTGTGCCCGGGAGGGCTTGGGCCAGCTGGAGAACCTGTCCGAAGACAACCGGAAGGTGTTGGACGAGTTGCTCAAAAACTACGAGCAGCGGCCGCACGAGTTACACACGTTGGCCGCCCTTGGGATCAAGCAGTACCGCACCAAGAAGATCGAAGAGGTTGAGGCTTCCTTCGAGCAAGACGCTGTGAGGCTCTCGCTCACTGCAAGCGGGGTGGACAAGCCTGAGAAGGCCAGCGGGGGTGGCCGGAAGGGCAAGAGCCCAGCACCCCCGGAAGGCTCGCCCGCCGGCGACGGCGGCGACGTGGTGGTCAACTACAACGTCCTCAACGAGAAGACCACGAAAGAGGTGAAGAAGTTGTTGACCCTCCTCCGGAAGGCCGTCGCAACCGCGGGTAAGACCCCGGTGGAGAACAAGGAGTTCAAAGACCCCGTGCGACAGGGCCTGCGAGTCGTCCAAGACGCTGCTGACAGCGCGGAAGACGCGTTGGAGAGCGTGTCCCCGGACGAGGCTGGCTACCAAGGCTTGAAGCGGCTCCTGGAGACGCTCCAGGCAAACTACGCCGTCTTCCTTAGCCTCTTGGAAAAGTGCTGCCCCAAGGCACTGCCGAAAGCCAAGGCAAAGGCAAAGGCGGAAGCCAAAGCCGAGGAGGACGCAGCCGAGGGAGCCTCGCCCGCTGGCGGTGTTGCGCCTGCGGCTGACACTGACGCAACGGACAAGTAGCTCGAAGTAGCTTCTTAAGCCAGAGGCAACCCACTGCCGGAACGTAGCAGTCCAAGCTAAAGCCTAAACTCTAAACCAGATTCTAGCAGTGGTGTTGCTCCATGCGTTTTGTGATCAGCCTGGCCCGCTTTGCACACTCGCCGTGCCCATGCGTTTTGAGATCAGCATGGAGCCTTAGAGTCTTAGAGTTCTAGCTAGCAAAACACTTTTGGTGTGCAGCTTCGTTCACAACATCCTGGTGCATGTGTCACACTATACTTATAGTAATTCCAAAAGTTTCAAAGCCAAGTTTCTTTCCAGCTGTTGTATAAGACAAAACTTTGAAGTAATAATTTTGTAGATGAGGTTCTATGTCACATTGCACTGGGCGCGTAAAGAGTTGTGGAAGCACAAGAGAAAAAAAGGTTCCAGAAGCGAGCCTCT